GGGGGGAGCTCCCCAACAGGGGGGCTGTAGCCTCCTCAGTCCCTCCTTGGTACCACCACTGAAAGTAACTAAGCATTAGAGTTATGTATAAGAGTTATTCACACATGTAGATAATTCTACTGCACTTAATGATGATTATAATAAATTGATGTTGATCTTTTTGTTGTTATGATAATAACTATATAATAGACCTTATGCATAATGATGTCACAAAGCTTGATGCCCGCAAGGAATGCTGGCCTTAGTAGTCCGACTTTGTCTTCGCCTCAGACTAAGCACTCAACTTCATAAGTATTTTGGGAAAGTCACGTCACAGACACTCGGTATCTTTATATTCAATATTGTTTTTAAACATTCACTGTTAAATTATTGAGCTACATTGCTAATCAGGATAGTACATACACACGTAAAAACGCACAAGTTGTAACAAACCTCCGGCAGACTTCCAACAACTTGTCAACAGGATGTGTTCGCACTGCTTGTTCCTAGCTTGTTGACAAGTTGTCAACGCCTTGCTGACAAATTGTGCTACAAGTTGTTCCAACAACTTCTGTTCTGCAACTCAACAATATGTCAACAAATTGTGAGTGACAACCTTGTAGCAACTTGATAAAATAACAGCATTGTTACAACTTATTGAAAAGCTTACTACAAGCCTGTTGCGAACACATCTTGTTGACAAGTTTATGAGATTTTTACGTGCGTACTATACTACAATCTTCATTTTCAAGTAGGTTCCGTATGTTCACCTGTTGTATTTCCGCCCCATTTCAAAATCCCTTGAAGGACCAAGAACTCGATTACGCCAATGACTAAAGCAACAATATTCTTTGTCATAAAGATAGCAGCTTCGTACCTACGCCAAATAACGCAACGTAAAACCAAAAACGGTAGGTTAATGCCGATAATTTCCAGTATGATGAGACTCAAGGATGTTTTCTTTCTAGGTTTCACGACGCCATAAGCCATGAACTTAGTTCGAACCAATCGAAAAGGCGAGAGAACGAAACAAATGCAGGCAAAGATGACAATGAATACTTTGGTTGCCGTGTTCAAATCGAAATCCGCTTCGTTTTGCGCCAGAAATATTTCCAACATTTTGATGCCATCGAAGATATTCAACGCGACGAATAGGGAGGACAGTAAGACGGGCTTCTGATAGGATGGAGAAATCGTGAGTTGTAGCAAGAGGATGAGCAATACTGGAGTCATACACAGAGTGCCTACCAGCGCGTTGATACCAAGATTGTCACTTTTAGTATTAAGGTCGTGTGCGAATGTAGCAAAAATTACGGCAACTGTAATAACATATGCAACGATGTATGCTCCCCAGGTAATCCAAACGCCTCGAATAGCCTTGTCGTTGTCAGCGTATGATTGCGCGCCTTTAAGTAAGTAACAGAACGCAACAAATGCTGGTACAAACCAAAGAAACCACATTATATATGCATAGTGGTCCAAATGTTTCACCAGAAACGAAACGAAAAGACAAACTTGCAACAAGTAAACCACCAATAACGTGAGCCTTCCAAGATTAACGAGCGGTTGCGACCTTTCTGGCGCTTCTGCTGGGCAGTCTACCATCGCAAGCCAAGTCTTTGCTTCAAAAACGTCGAAGAGTTTGTCTATAAGTGTAGCTTAGCTAGTTCTTATACAATGATTCAGTCACGGAGTATCGATTATCTACTCGACTACTCTGTCATTTATTCCTCGATTTATTCTGTCCTTTCGTTTTTGTGGCTTACCCGTTTGCGTAATGTTTGGAAACCCGAGAACTACAGGAACAGGAACTGCAGGAATTACAGGAACTACAGGATTTCCAGTTAGCAGAGCATTGGCAATTGATATAATACTTACCCAAAGTTAAAATCATTTGAATACCGTATAGACTCGTTTGCTCTTTAAATTTTCAGAGCTTCAGATGCGGCGCTCTTTCGGGGCAGATACCTTCCGGCGCAATTTCAATTTCTTCGCCTTTAATATTCATTAAAAGCTTCTGCGAAAGAAAGAGGGGGCGGCGAAGTGAATACGGCATCTCATGCAAATTCATGGGAATAGTTAATGAAGCCAGACAAAGAAGATGACAGCTCTGACCAGAACTGGATACTTGACGTTAATTAGCATGGAATTTCGTCAAGGTTAAACTTACATTTCTCTTACTACATATTCATTTGTGATATTGTTACCCTACTGGTTCATTTGTGTATTTGAAGATGTAATGTATCAAATCCGACTTCGCCTTCGCCTCAGACTAAGTGTTCAACTTCATAGGTATTTTGGCACGGCACAGACACACAATATCTTTATGTTCAATATCGCTTCTAAACATTTACTGTTAAATTATTGAGTTACATTGTTTATTATTAGCATGACAAAATTACTGGATGCTGATTGGTTGAGAGGAGTACATTATTAATATTTCATTAATTGTACTGCAGTACAATTAATGATTTTCCCAAAACAAACAAAATGGCGGAAACATATTTTAAACACAAGCGTAAAATGAAATTGCCGTGGAGGAACTAGATGAAAATACGAACAAAAGCACCAAATTTTGCTTTAACAAAAGAACAAAATAAAAATACAAACAAAAGCACCAAATTTTGGTTGAAAGTCTGACAGGACTGGGCTGTGGCGAGAGAATTTGATGTTGACATTGAGAAGTACGTATCCAATTTTGTCATACTAATAATAAACAAGTAATCATGCGATGTTGTGTGATTACCTATACTAATCAGGATAGTCACATGCATACGTAAAAACACACAAGTTGTAACAAACCTCCAGCAGAGTTCCAACAACTTGTCAACAGGATGTGTTGACACTGCTTGTTCCTTAGCTAGCTTATTGACAAGTTGTCAACGGCTTTTTGACAAATTGTGCTACAAGATTGTTAAGCTCAACAGACTTGTTACAAGTTTGTCCAACAACTTATGTTCTTCAATTCAACAATTTGTCAACAAGTTGTGAGTGACAACCTTGTAGCAACTTGATAAAATAACAGCATTGTTACAACTTGTTGATATAATAAAGCTTGCTACAAGCCTGTTGCGAACATATCTTGTTGACAAGTTGTGAGTGACAACCTTGTAGCAACTTGATAAAATAACAGCTTTGTTACAACTTGTTGATGTTAAAGCTTGCTACAAGCCTGTTGCGAACATATCTTGTTGACAGGTTAATTGTGAGATTTCTACGTATGTATATCGTTTTCAAGTATGTTCCACGTCATGTTCACCTGTTGTATTTCCGCCCCATTTCAAAATCCCTTTAAGGACCAAGAACTCGATCACGCCAATGACTAAAGCAACAATATTCTTTGCCATAAAGATAGCAGCTTCGTATTTACCCCAAATGACGCAACGTAGAACCAAAAACGGTAGGTTAATCAAGAAAATTTCCAGTATAACGACACCCGAGGAGGTTGCCTTTCTAGCTTTCACCGTGCCATAAGCCATGAACTTAGTTCGAACCAGTCGAACAGGCGAGAGAATGAAACAACAGCAGGCAAAGAGGATAATGAATACTTCGGTTGCCATGTTCAAATCGAAATCCGCTTCGTTTTGCGCCAGAAACATTTCCAACATTTTGATGCCGTCGAAGAGGTTCAACGCGACGAATAGGGAGGACAATAGGACGGGCTTCTGGTAGGATGGGGAAATCGTGAGTTGTAGCAAGAGGATTAACAATACTGGAGTCAAACACAGAGTGCCTACCAGTCCGTTGATACTAAGATTGTCACTTCCTGTGATTCCAGTAAGCTTGTGTGCGAATGTAGCAAAAATCGTGACAACTGTAACGACTAAAGCAAGGATGTATAGTCCCCAGGTAATCCAAACGCCCCGAATAGCCTTGTCGTTGTCAGCGTATGGTTTCGCGCCTTTACAAAATAAGTAACAGAACAAAACAAATGCTGGTATAAACCAAGCAAACCACGCTATATATGCATAGTTGTGCAAATGTTTCACCAGAAACGAAACGAAAAGACAAACTTGGATCAAGTAAACGACAAATAACGTTACCCTTCCAAGATTAACGAGCCTTTGTGACCTTTCTGGCGCTTCTGCTGGGCAGTCTACCATCGCAAGCCAAGTCTTTGCTTCAAAAACGTCGAAGAGTTTGTTTATAAATGTAGCTTAGCTAGTTTATAGACAATGATTCAGTCAGTGTCTACTCTGTGATTCAGTGTTTATCAAACTAACGTTCGTTTATATATTCTGTGCTTTCGTTTTTGTGGCTTATCCCGCTCGCGCAGGTGTTTGGAAATCCGGGAACTACACTACAACAGGAACAGGAATTACAGGAACAGGAATTACAGGAACAGGAACTACAGGAACAGGAACTACAGGAACAGGAACTACAGGAACAGGAAGTTCGTAGTCTCCAAGACCAAAAAAAATCAAAGACTTTCAAAGATTTGTTCTGCCTATTTTCAAAGACTTTTCAAAGACCTTTGAAAGCAATCAGCTGTCGAAAAATTGCGAGTGTAAGCACCATTTTTACCCAGTAATTATAGTCCCGTCAAATCACATCCTAAAATGCGCCTTTTCGTCGATATTTGCGAAAATCTTGCTTCAATCAAGCTATTTTATTAGCTAGGAAATCGTATAATCAAATACTCACTAAAGAATT